GTAAGTGTGAAGTCGGGATGTCAATAGACGTTATTTGTACTCTCAGAGCATTGAAATATTTATATCAAATGACAAGCGTTTTGATAGTTATCATTTGCCCTTTAGTTAACTTCAGGCTTCACAGAGGGGAAGGAATATCAAAGTGAAAACAAGTTGAGAAGGGTGGGGAACAGAAGAATGCTTCAAAGATGTAAAAGAGACAGACACAAAGGTATAAAAAGTGTGAGGTGAGTTCTGTGGAAGTAGTCGAATATGACATACGGTGGGGTGATGGTAGTTAGAAGTCAAAAGTCAACTGCCAGTTAATGGACAATTTTGCAGTATGAGTATACGTTTGTCCAGGGTGTACCACGTGGAGGTAAGTCTATCGCGCACATCTTTCTTATAAAATAGGCAGTTGACAAGGTATATATTTGATCTATTCAAAACTGTACTCTGCATTGCGTTCGACCTTGTTTGCATCCTGCTCTATCTTTAGCCTCTTATTCCCTAGACTTTTAGCCAAGCTTTACTCTTTACATGCCTGCATTGTCGTATTCTACTTCTGTCCCGCATGCCATCAACCATTCAGTCATACTTTGCGCTTTTGTGGCATATGCGCATCGCGAGTGTTCACTACCCTCGCATCCAGGTCATGGTCCGTTGCCTTGACGTTGTCTTTAGAAATGATCGCTTGCTATGATCTAAAAAAAGACCATTCATTATAACCTGCATTTAACTGAGACAAGTTCACGTGGGTGATTGACATTTTGCCAAATCAAAATTTCAAAATTTTCGGAAAATATATTTTCTGCATCGTGTGATAGAAGCATGCGACCATCGGTAAACATTTTATCATCTTGTAAAATGCTAAGCTTCGTAGCAACAAATCAAACAAACTAAATAGTTTATTGATTGAAATATCAATTCAAATTTCAGTCAGCAAAATGGGGGAAGAATGTTAAGCTCTCTAGAACTTTTCCTCAGCTTTCTGCTCCCTTCCATTTGTTTTGTCTCCAATCCATGTTATAAGAGAACGAATAAAGTCTCCTTAAAATTGGCATAGAAAAGAATTTTGTTCCTATCTTTCATCTTTTACTATATTTCTATTCTACGAATTTTATCTTAGTTCAAGTTTTAGCAAAATTGTCATACTCATATGTAGCATAATTTTTCTTTGAAATTTATTTTCAATTGCACATTAATGATAGCAATTTCAAATTCCATTTATTCCAGTTTTCTAACGCTCATCTTGTGTATATTGTAACATTAGCCTCTCGGATGAGAAGCTCTAATATCAACTCGTTTTTGCAAGTGCAGTTGTTTGCGTCGATAGGAATCTTGCCCATGACCTCTTTCTCGTGGCTCATTAATTAATTTACAGGCACAGAATGGATTTACTTGATTTGTGATACGCTATATTTCCTTATTTGCACAAATACTCCACCATTTATTAAATCTAAATCGTGTTTGATTAGTAGGCTATGAAATTAAATTTTATTTTTAAGATCACTACTTGCATATACGGCTTAAATGAAGAAACAATAAACATTTTGAAAATTCCTTTCTGTGTGCACATAACTCGAGTTTAAAATGACAGAATTATCCTCATTATTAAGTTGTTATTTACTTTGCACATATCGAACGTTTTCGAAGAGAGTATTTTGATATGAGTGTATCCAAGGTATATTTCGTTTTCTTCTTCCGCATTTAGATATGAGTGAAGAAGAGGTTTTGGCGATGGTTATGGAACAATCGCGCTGTGAATACGTGGAGAGCCTAAAAAGTACGACTTCCGTTGGTGCAAGTCGTGATCAGGACGACGATTTTGGCTGTCATGCAGATAGTAATCCGCCCACAGTTGCATCCTATATTAGAAAGAACCAAGATAATAATTCTGAAGGCCAAGTAAATGATAGCGACAAAGGTGATGACAACAATAGCTAGTCTTTCTTTCTTCAGTTCCAATTTCTTTTACCACATCTCCCTCTTTCCCATGTCTATCTTATATGAGTACACGTTTAAATGTAAATACTAACGATTTCTGGGACGTTTGCTTCAGTGTTATCACATTTGCTCCTCCCTTCCTCCCCTTACCTCCTCCTCCTCTCCCCCCTCCCTGTTCGTTTTATGAGTGAGAACTTGGGGGGAGGGGGTTCTTCCAATAATATTTACTTTCATCCAAACTTGTGCATTAAAATAAACTCCCTCACTATTACATTCTCATTTCCCTCCCTGCTCATTTCTTTGCTTATGAATAGGCCGCAAATACTATGCTTTCAATTTGGGTGACTGATCTTTTTATGTGGTTGCATAAAGTGAACTCACTTAATAATGGTCAATATGGTATGACAAGGCATAAAATAGGCTCTTTAAAATTATGCAGCAAAAAAAAAAGAAATGACCGGATTCCTTTTTGCTACTAGTTTTGGCATAAGGAGAACCAGAGCCGTGAAAAGTAACGATAAAGCGGTGATTGCTCAGTGGGAGGGGCCAAGCTGCTCCATTAGACATGTTGTACTGGATTTAGTCCTTCCTCAATTACACTTTCATCTTTATTTGTCGAGAATGTAATTAGTTAATTCTCATGCAATTAAACATCTCGTTCATATGCGCCTCAACCACTTGCGATCCCCATATAAAAATTGTCAAGCCTCCTATTTAATACCTTAATTTACGCATTTATTTAATACTAGCAATCCATTACTGTGAATATTTCCTGTATTCTGTAATGTTGCTTCTGCAGAATCCTTATGGCTGCATAAGGTTACTTCCATCCCTTCTTGTATGCTTTAAAATGCAGAAAAAAGTGCAGTGGCAGAATCGGGCTTGATCGTTCATCAGAATTGTAGGCCGTAAAAGCTGATTAATAAATGTTGAGAATTACAGCAGAAGGTGAGTATTTAAAATAATCGCAAAGAGGACAAAATGGTGTGTGAAGGGTGATATTAACCTTGAAATCATATCAGTCGATGAATGACTGAATTTAGAGATGTTTTTTATTTATTACCACTAACAAGACAAAATTGCACTTAGACGACCGTCAATCCTTATCACATCGTGTCACTTCATTTAGAGAACAAATTATTGATATATATATATATATTTCAGAAACAAAGCGGAATTATTGGAAGAAAAATCCTTCAGAGTAAATGAGCTGGTTGAAAGCAGAATATAACATGGTAGGTGTGGAAATAAAAGTTAGAGTCAGCTGATACTTACTAATGGGGACGTGACACAAGTGGAACATTATGATTTAGTTTTAAACTGTAAATCACAAAGCGGAAAGAAAGCTTGATAAGATGCTTAATTGCATGGAATGTGAGCAGATTAGGATTAGTTCAGTATGCTAATTTAAAATCTATAGATTAAGAGCCAGGCATGGTGAATATTTTGATATTCAAAATTAAATGGTGCTACATAATCGACAAATCTGATTAACACCCTCTAAAATACATGGAAGGAACTTATTAATATTAGTTAAGGTACGGACGCATGAACCTTTAAATCCTCAAATAACATTTTTAAGGAAGACGACTAAAGAAAAACTGATCGAAGGATAGAAATAGATTGCATAAAATGTTTATCACATGAAATTTCTTAAATTACCATATTGAACATTAATTAAAATGTAAATAATAATAAGTGCTAATAACATAAAGATACAGATCGGGCATTTTTATTTGCTTCAAGAGACACCAAGACCAAAATAAAATTATATGATATATTAAATGTAAAATAAAAATCACTAAAATATTATGGGGAAATAAATTTGTAAAGACGTCTTATTATTAATGTAGCGCAAGGATAACTAATCATGAAGGTCAAACATTTAAATAGTCATCATTGGTTGCGCTCGCTTTGAATAGCAACAAAAGTAATGAGTTCTTCTGATATAATTAATTATAAAGAAGAAATTGAGCAACTGCAAAATTCCTTAAAAGAAGCGCTTCGAGAAAAATATGAAGCAGCTCAATATGGTTTAAGGCTTTTGGAGGAGAAAGACAGCCTACAGGCAAAGCTTGATGAGAATGAAGAAGTTCTCGCCCAACTTAAACGCGAATTACAACTAACTCAGGAGGTAACTGAGTTTATTTTCTGAAACCTTTTAGATATGTGATGAACAAAGTGAACTCAGCAGAAAAATGAGCCGTGTGGGTTTTCAGGAGGAAGACGACCTTCTGAGTAGAACTGCTAATCGGGAAGAGCAACTTTCGAATCGCATTAAAGATCTTGAGTACGATTTAAAAAACACAAAAGTAAAATATGAACGCCAAATGGCAGAAAACGACAAGTTGCACCAAATGATGCAGGACATTCAGACAAAATATGATAATGTAGAGAAAACCCGACTTGAACTTAAACGGGAAATCAAAGCGATGAAGGCAAGGGAGACACAGCTGCTCAGTGAACTGGACGAACTGGAGTCGGAAAATTTAGAACTTCAGAAAAACGTTTTGGTTCTAAAAACCAGTCAAGTATGTTCATAGTTTCCTTACATAGATTATAATTATTTTTATAACTTTTAGATTGAATTTGAAAGCCTCAAACATGAATTAAAACGAGGCCAGGAAGAGAATGATTTAATACATGTTCAATTGGAAGAAGTGACGAGATTGAAGCGCATTACTGAAAAATCCCTAGAAGAGGCACTTGAATCTCTGCAAATTGAACGGGAACAGAGGCATAATCTGAAAAAGGAACTTGACAGTCGGTTTGCTTGTGAATCTATTTATCACCTGCACACAATTCAAAACGGTCTTGCTCAGGCTACTCAAGCCCAACTTCTCAACGACAACGTAAATAGAAAGAAAGGGGAGAACTTGTTCTCAGAGCTTCAATTGAGCGAATCAACGGAATTTAAAGCGGAAATGACGGGCCTTCAACACAAGTTGGAAGAAGCTCAACGATCTGCGGAACTGGCTTCTAGCGAAGTGAACTCTAAGCAGGAGCGAATCAATCAACTTCAAAATGAATTAGATCTGATTATGGGTGTTCAAAAGAGAGCCGATGCTGAGTTTGACGCTAAGGAGGCTGGGGAGGAGGAATCGGCATTGAAGAGATCCCTTCGACAAGTTGAAACTCGCTACTCTGTTGCTCTACGGCAAATTGCATCTATGCAACATGATCTGTGGCGCTATCAGGAGTTGGAGAAGATGAAAGCAGATCCCGCTCTTGGTGATGAGGCTGGTCTGCAATCAGAAGTGCTGAAACTTCGTAAGGAACTTGAAAATCGGGGGGATGAGATTAAATGCCTCAAGGAGCGTATGGACAATAGTGCTGAAGCTGCGCAAGAAGTGGGAATGAAGACAGCGAGTGTTTCCGCGTGCCTTAGAAAGGAATTCTCTGAGCTTCTCAAACTTTACATGCTTGTCTGCTTAGAGTCGAAAGAAGCTCCTTCAAAACAGGTTAGAATTTATTTTTCTTAATAGCACCCTACGTTAGTTTAATTGATGGTGGTTTTATTTTCATAATGTTGCGCTTAGTCGTTAACGCCTGTTGATTAACATTTATGGCGTTTCGTTGGTGTTGTTTTATTTGCAATTAGAATTTCTGTAAATCAACCTTTAGGTGTTTTAATGCATGGCGACTCTGCCCTTTGTTACACCAATTCGCATTTTTAATCATTTCTGGTGTACTAGGCGGATTTATACCAGTGCATGAATTAAATAGACTGAATTTCTTGTCAGCAGGTTGCAAACCGTTGGTTGAATGTTTCTTGCTGGAAAATATTTGATTGTTTTAAAATCGATACCTTAGAATATCCTTCAGTTTTAAAATTATCATTGAATGAGGTTAGGGGAAGTTAAAGTGAGAAAACTCGTTTTGGCTTGAGATAATTGGAAGCGGTCTGAAACTGGGTTTAAATGGTTTCTAAATAGTGGGTTTTGCTGAGTATCCCGCTTGTTGGCTTAGTTCGATGCCAATACATATTTCCAAACCAATATTTATGAAAGCAAGATAATTTAGTGCTCTTTTGCTCTCCTGCATTTATCAGTGCATATTTGTCCCTTGAGCCTTACTTTGATGTAGCCTTGTTTGGAAGAGTTCTTTATTGTCGCTTTCCTGATGCAATTATGACGTTACTCTCAATATGAATGGCTTTTTAATTTTTAAGCTCTATTTTATGCATTATCGATTGTTGATTTGGGTAAACATCCCATTTTATTTCATGTGTGCTGATGATGTAGCCTTCAATGGCAATCTTCAAACAAGAATAATGCCCAACACTGCTATTCTCGAAATTTAGCTTTTTCAATTTTTGCCATACCTCTTTCTACTTCTTTGGTGCCACACAAAATTATTCCCAGCACCATCCAATGCTCTTTGCAATGTAACGAGATAAGTATCATTAGCATAGATCAGGGTGTTTTACTTTCTGTTCTTCAGGCGGTGGGTTAAAAATATGTTTCATGTTGTCTTGTCCTTTGTGCGATTAGTTAGCTGAAGCAAAAGTTTACTTTATTCGCCATTTCATTTTAATGTGTACAGAGTGTGCAACTAGTATATTTGCATAATAACGTATACAAGTGAACTTGAATTCTCTCGTTTGGCTTCTTCCCCATTTTTGTGAAAATCATTCGGAATCTTTTTTTCGCTTTTCCTATCGCTTTTAGAGGGGTTCGCGAATTTAAAATGTCTTTTCTTTTGCAACACTTTTGTACTTTAGTTAACTTCCACTTAAATTATATGCACGGATGATGTATCGCTTAATTCATCAATCGCCCACATGAGGTTATCAGTGATGCATGCGATTGGCTGCAGATATTGCATTTCATAATATTGGGAAGACTGAATTTTTTCGATTGTCATGCTCTCACCCGTTTGACTCATCTTGAGAATTACTAATGTGTTTAGTCATTCACTCCAGTGAAAATAGCTAGACTCAAAAGTTTTAACGCCCTACTTGGAAGCAATGTTAAATGGAGATTTCTCGAGTAATGACACACGCCCATACGCTTCCCATCAGATGGTAAAAAACCCGTCCTTCCTTCGCTTTGCATTGCTTATGCTTGAGCGTTATTTCTTTTATTGGCATTATATGTATAAGTAATATAATTCGCGAGCGGAAGGACTAACCGGATTTAAAGTTGGAACTTGCTCTAACGGTGGAAAGAAGTTGAGTTGACATTATGTGGCGTACGATTAATTTTACCCTTATTTACCAAATTAAATTTCATCCCCACTGAACTTCTTCTTCCGTTATTTTTGTCTCAAACTTAATCCTGCAAAACAGACATTTTTTCAGCTCAAATGACTAAAAAATTGAGTTTTAACTATAGCATAGAACACATTTACTCGATGAGCATACGATGTTGTGAGACTTCATTTCCTTGAAGTTACATAGAAACTCGGTAGTTCATGAGCTGAACTCTCCCCAGTCACACTGGAAATATTCGATTCGACCTCCAAACCGATAATTACCCGTTTCGATTATTTTAAAGTATCAACGAAATTATCGAAAATATTTATTTTTATTTATTTATATTAAATGGATGGCTTTTTTGATTGTCATCATTAGCCCTTTAGTTGACTTCAGGCTTTACAGAGAGGAAGGAACATCAAAGTGACGAAACGTCGAGAGTTGGGATAGAAGAGTAATTCACAGAATTAAGAGACAGAGAGGCACAAAGGCAGAGAAAAGGTGAGGTGATACTGTGGAAGGGGTCGAATATGACATACAGTGGGATGATGGTTGTTTGAAGTGAGAAGTCAACTGCCGGTTAATAGACTTTTTTGCTGTATGAGTATACGTTGCCCAGGGTGCACCACGTGGAGGTAAGTCTATCGCACACCCCTTAAGAGAAAATATGAGGTTTTGTATTCACTCTTCTATATCAGTAGTTCTCAATCTAATATTTATCGATTTTAATCGATTTCCACAACTGCAGGAATGGATATCCACAGTCTCTAGTGGTTATAGATTGTCAAGAAGTAAATATGATATTAAGAATCCAATTTCTCTTATTGTCTTT